TGATAGCAGCGTACAAGGAAACACAATACTAAATGCACCACGAGCTGCAAAGTCTCCAGTACTAGGCAGGAACTGTGTTTTGTCAAACTCAGGCAAGTCTTCGACTTTGACCGGTAGTGCTGAACTCCCAGAACTAGAGAGCAGAACCGGGTCAGTTCAAACGATCATAGATATCACTAAGGCCGCTTGCTTCATTTCTTTTCCCGACCTCGGTCTATTGGTGACAGAGAATGGCGTTGAGCGTACCGCAAGAAAGCGAAGGCGATGAAGCAGTGCAGGGCATGGGGTTCTGATACATAACACGCTGATACTGTGGTAGTGAATAAACTGCCTATTGCCACGAGGCAGACTCGTGGTTGTGGCTTGGCAGTTGCCTGAGTGGCTTCAAACAAGCGCCATCCGCCAGCTTGAGAAAGATTCAATATATCGGACTTCGCATATTGATAGGTGTTCCAGGAGCTTTTATGGGCTGTACAGAGGAGGGCTGAAAAGGGAGCGAAGTCAATTCATTTGAACAATGTGCCAGATGGAAAGCACGCGGCGATACCGATCAAGCGCCTGAATGACGTACGATTGAGCGTCAGAAAACACTTTTTGTTTTCGCGATGAAGATCGAAGCGTCATACATCGAACAAAACAACCTGCTCTCCACCTCCCGTATCAATCCGTATCAACTTCTTTGCCACCCACGCATAAAGCGCCCTCGTGCCTCCGATGGCCGCTTTCAGCGTAGTGAGCGGCATGGCATGGTTATGGGCCATAAGTAGTGTGTGGAGAAGCTGGGCAGTGTTTACTTGGTGAGGCGTAGGGCCGGGGTTCGTAAGAGACACTTGAGGATGTGGGGGAAGCGGACGAGGGTGATTAAGTTGCAAGTGATTGGATAAGGGTGCTAGAGATAATTGGAGGCATGGTTGGATGGTGAGTGATCAAGAAACTGCTGCGAATTGAAAACGTCGAGGCCTACAGGGTTTCTTTGGTTCGAGGAGGTTTCCTTCCGCTCGAGAATGGATTGCCTGCCATGGTGATTTTGCCAACCGTGCTGAAGAAGGTTCCTTCACCGCCGCCAAACGATCCACCTACTTCTCCACCGCCATCTGGGACTCAACAAGATCTTAAGAGATCTCTGCTCCATCGGCTGATACGAATCCAGCTCCAGATACTATCCCAAAGACACACAAACCACGGGTAACACCTGGACTAGAACGTATCGCGCTATGCGTCGAGTTCTTTGTTTTCTTTCCCAGTCGGTTTCTGAGAAAGACAGCAGACCAAAGTACTAGGCTAGTAGCCACAGCTTGCGAGTAAATTCATCAGTTTTAAAATAAAATAAAAACCAGCAACAAAGAAGGGCTGAAGACTGTTGTTGGAGCAGAAAAAATACGAAAGAGGAGAGCAGAGAAAGGTGGAAAAAAGAGCAAAATATCGACGCCAGCAGGATTCGAACCTGCGCCCTCAAAGAGGAACAGATCACGTGATGCTTATGTAAGCATAAGTCATTCTAATCTGTCGCCGTAACCACTTGGCTATAGCGCCTTGACAATTTATACTACTTTGAAGTTATAGGACTAGTAGTACTGTCCCGCGTCCCCTTTTGGACCTACTTTGATTTTCATTCACTCTCGCTGTTACTGCCAACCGCGACGGACTCAGCCATGCTCGCTTGTCGCCATCAACACCACCGCTTGGTCTTTCTGGCTCGAGCATCCTCTCGCTCGTTCTCAGCGTCCTCGTGCTCGTCGTCCCCTTCGTCTTCCGGCTCTCCTTCCTCATCCAAGCCCAAGACCCCTCCAAGCCCCTCCCAAGACTCCATATTCACAGCTCCAGAGTCTCCTTGGGACCATGTTTTCGCCGACATCGACACCATGCCTCCTCTTCTTCCTACCTCCATGCGTAATCCCCTCCGCCAAACTCACCACTCTCCGTTCTCAAAAAGCGAAGGAGAAGCTCCAGGCAGCAACGGAAAACCTGTCCTTGGTCGGGCCTCAACGCGATCACGCAGACAGGCCATGACCGCACGCGAAATCAGCGCGTTCGACGAGATGTTCAACATGATTTTCAACGCTGTCTCTGGGCAAAAGTCTACCTCACCCCATTCGTCTTCGGCGTCGTCCCCCACATCTGCATCTTCACCACTCTCGGCTCTCGATACACCGAGTATCGGAAGGACACCGCCAACTGGGATTTCAGGTCAGGGTGCACCGCTCAACGACCTCTTCCGTACCCTCCGCCGTCATTCTTCGCGTGTCCCATGGACCTCAGCGATCGATGAAGAACTGGATCGTAAAAAGGAGGAAATGGACCTCTGCGACACGGACCAGGAGCTACTCGAGTGGGCCATGAGAGAAGTATTCGCCGAGTCTGTGAAATGGGGCGACGAAGCCAAGAAAGCTCTCGCCGCTTCCGCCAGCTCCAGTGGACCCGCCAATGCCTCCACCTCCACCTCCACCGCCGCCAAAACAAACGCAAAAGACAAGAACACCGACCTCGCTACTCCCTCCACACCCCCCGCATCGACTCTACCCGCCCTCCAACCCCCAACTTACCCCCACCTCCTGGCACACCTTATGCGTCTCTTCCGAACGACCTACCACAACCCCTCCCTCGCCCTCTCCATATTCACGCACGCCTCCCGCCTCTCCATCCCCTCGTACGTCTTCGGGTGCACAGCCCCAGCCTACAACGAGCTCATCCAGGCGAAATGGGAGGGGTGGGGCGACCTGGAGGGCGTGTGCAAGGCGCTCGAGGAGATGCGCGGGAACGGGGTGAGGGGCGACGGAAGGACGCGGTTGGTCGTTGAGAGGGTGCGGAGGGAGGTGGGGGAGGCGCGGGGGGAGGGGGGTAATCCGCTTGCGAGGAGGCTTTGGGCGGACGTTGGAGAGGCGGGGGTGATGAGGCTTCTTACGCGCATAGAGGAATTGGCGCTCCGGGACCCACCGCGGAAACAGAAACTGGGCGCTTCGAAAAAGGGATGGAAAGGGCAGGAGTCGTGGAAGAGTGCGGTGTTGAAATCCGATAACGAGGATGGGTGGGAGTTTGATAGTTGGAGACGGGCGAAGAAGGAGAGAGTCGAGAGGAGGGGAGGGGAGGAGAAGTTTGGGGCAAACAGACGTAGATCGGAGGGGATGCAGGATGCGTCGCCGTTTGACGACTGGATGGACGTGGGTACTACGGACGAGAACGTAGCCTACCGGTGATCATTGTCGACGTCGCACTCGGTGTTGTCCTCCTTCATCGCACCATATAGACCTACTCACACAAGGTCCACTTTACAATATTCGTACACATTCTCCGCACACCGTGTAGCTAATCTCTCATCCCAATTCAATCTGATCTGCACACATACCGGCTAAAGTTTAGTATCAATGCCTTTGTGTTTGTTGCGGAGAACAGCTGCGCCTGGCGAGTGGAAGATCACGGCAGAACGGGATGCTCGGTGTATGCATTGTATATATTCACATTGGTTTTTATTCATTACCCTCAAGAAAGAGTGTGCTGATACGAGAAGAAAAGTAACAGAGTCGAGTCGAAAACGAAGGGAGAACCGACATCATATCGTGTATTTCCATAGAATTATCCAACGAAAGTAATGGGATGGGACGTGACTAAGTAAAAAGCAAAGGGGAAAAAGGTGAATGAGCGTTCAGTAGGACTCGGTGGTGGTAGTGATAGTTAGTGATAGTGGTATCGGTATCGGTAATTGCGATTCGCGTACACGAAAGGACAGTGCGGCTAGTTGGAGCTGTGGGTATGAGTCGTGTCTGCGTCGTGGTAGGGGTACAGTTTCGGGTGTGGTTGGCTTGGGGTTGGGCTTTGGCTTTGGTGGATAACTTGGGACGTGGGGTAACGCTAGAGTGGGTGATATTGCGGTGGTTGACGCGGCTGCTCATCTCCGGTTGCGAGATTTGGAGGCGCGGGGTTTGGGGGAGCTGGGCGCGCTTGCTCCCCGTCCATGCACGGGTACGTAGTCTTCGTCGACCTCGTTGCACTTCAAGTGTATAAGCAGATTATAGACAAACATCTGCTCGAACCTATGCCGGGCAACATCTTGAGTCAGCCATCCGTGCACCACCACGTATCAGCTAATGCACTCACTGCGCATTCGTGAACACGACCGCCATAGACTCCGAGCTACATCTCAACAGATTCGGCGCCATCACCAGCGCCATATTCGCAGCCGTCATCTTCGTACTCGCCAACACTTTCTCCTCCAAAAACAACTGCAAAAAGCTCACGATGAACAACACCACCCTCCTATTGATCGTCGGGAGCCTTCGGACGAGGTCGACGCATGAGGGTGGGTCCGAGGCCGCGTTTATGCAGTCGTTGTAGAGTTCTTCGGGTACGAGGGGGTCGCAGAGTTCGCGGAGCCAGAGTTTGAGGAGTGAAGCGAGGACGTGGGGGTCGTCTACGTTGTCGAGGGTGTAATACCCCCTATCGATCCTCAGCTTAAGCTCCGATACCAAATCGCCATCCCCCGGCACCCTAAAGATACCTTCGCATTTCGTGCCGCCCAGCGCGAGGATCCCGTCAGCGAGGAAAGGGAGTATGATGGGGATCTTCTCGTTGGGATAGTTCCGCTCCTGGAGACGCATAGTAGCATCCAACGATTCTCCGAACGTGGACGGATTGAAAGCCGCGTCGGACGCAGTCTCGATCTCCGCCATCGTCGGCGCCTTCCCCCGCGGTCCCTTCTTCGATATCGCCGAGAGCCGTCTCAAGCAATGTTTCGCCATAACATCGACGCGTCCCTCGGATTGGGATGTGCGTTGGAGCATGAAGGAGCGGAGGTATGTTTCGAAGTTTTTGGAGGGGGGGAAGGCGATGAGGAGGACGCAGAGCATTTGCCAGCCTTTGAATACGCTTTCGGGGTTTGGGTTCCCGCTGAGCTGTTTCATGAGTTGACAATATATCTCGTCGCGGAGCTCCCCATGTGTGAGACCCTCGCTCAATAACCATCGTTCTTCCTCGAGGAGCCCGATCGAGCTGGTGGGGAGGGAGCTCGTGGATCCGTTGTGAACGGGTATGCCGGCCGATCTCTCCCGCTCGCGGTCTCCCATGATGTGTTGGATGACTTTGAAGATCTTGACTGCGTCATTTCTCAGTGAGCGGTTCAGCGCGAGAAGGGGAGAACTGAGAGGAGCTTTCTGCCATGTCATCATTTGGGCGACGGGGACTTTGCGTCGGAAGATGAATCCGGTGCGGTGTATTGAGAAGTATTGTCTGGCGTAGTCTGATTCGCCGAACTGTTGAATGTCAGAGGCGAGATCGTGAGGGAGGATGGGGTATGTTCTGGAGGGGAGCGATTGTCAGTGGGACGTTGGGATAGGTAAATGAGGGAGTGCAAACCCTGATGCGAGTGTTGCTGTGGGTGTATGACGGTGATGAGGTGGTGGACGTGAGGGTGCCGTGACATGTATTGGCTTTCCAGCTGCCCGGTTCTTGATCGGGCTCATATTTAACGTTGCCTCTGCGTCGTCAACTTGAGATACCCCCGGAAACACTTCAGAAGCACCGCGTCTCACCTTCGTTGAGTATGGGACTGCTGATCACTTTGCCATTCACCATAGGAGGCGTCGATGTGCTCCGCGTCATCCAGAATGCGCCAGGGGCATGTAGGGTCTTGGTTGGAGACTGCGAGACGTCGCGCTTTTCTTTCGACTTATCCTTCGGCGGAGTCGTACTGCTTGTACTCGTGCGTGATATGCCCGGACGCAACGCCAAAGGATGCCCATGCCCATGATCCGACGTCGATCGCCTCTCCGACAACGAAAGCATCTCCACAGCAGCGTTTAAGCTCTGCGGCGCCGGTGACCTATACGGCACGTAAGAAGAACTCTTCGATCTCGATCTCGATAACGACCCATCCTCGGTATCCGTCATCGCGCCATTAGTATTATTAGCAACGCCATTAGGCCGCTGCTTCTCCTTTTCTCTCGTGCTCGACTTTCCATTTGAAGAAGGTGCGGGGGACATTGATTTACGTGAGGTGGGCGTAGAAGGCTCCGTTGCGAAGGGAGATGCGGGGATTGGAGGAAGATGCGAGTGATGTCCGTTCGACCGACCTCCACGTGTCGACCCGTTTGGTTGCCCGTATTGGTCGTTCGTGTACGAACGTCGGACAGTAGGCGAATGCTGCGACTGCCCTTTCTTCCCCGGGCTCCCGCTCGCGGAAGTTGATATCCGACCTGGCGAACTGCGCGTTGACGATAAGGAGTGTCGTGGCAACGATGACTCTGCCTCGCCCGATCGAAGTGAGACATGACGTGTGTCCTTGTCAACGCCCCCAGTTTGTGATCGGGACCTGCGGTATCCTGGCCGGTCGGAGGTTGGCTCGTTGCTAACGGCGGGGGTTGACCCCTTTTTGCGCATGCCGGTTTGGGAGAGTCGTCGGCCAAGGGCTGTTTGCTACGAGAATTTGCAAAAACAGGAGAGTCAGCATTGTGAGTCACTCATAGGGTCGGGAGGAGGTTTACTTGGATGATGGTCAGAGGAATGACAAATCCATCTGGGCGTTCCCAGACTGTCTCCCCTGT